TTAGAGGGAGGAGAGGGAAGACAGGAGTCTTAAGGGAGTCTTACAGAATATGATGCCAGGGAGACTGGTCCATCGGGTGTGTGTGTGTATGCGTGTGCGCGCGCATATGTTCTCCACCCAGCCTTGGAATGGACTTTTGGGAAGACTGAAGGGCTCTACTCTGAACAGTGCCCTGAGTTAGATGGAGCAAACAAGGAGCAGAGTAGCCCTGGACAGCCAAGGCCTTGCTCAGCTTGCCCAAGCCGTAAAATGGGGAAACTCTTCTCCAATGGAATGCTTGTCCTTTGTTATTTATGAAAGACATATTCTTAATGAGAAAGGATAGTTACCAGTAGTTGAGTGTTTGGCAAAATAATGACATATGCTAACATGGTGCTGAACATATTTCACAATTGGGCTTTTCCCCAATGGAAGAGGAATCAGAAGAATGGAGTCACCATCTGCTTTGTCCCTGTTGTGTACAAATAACCAGCTCTTGCCTTTTTCTCCCTTCTCCTGGCCCAGGCAGCTCTCCAGCTCAGCAGCAGCCTCTCTATACTGCCCCAGTGTGGGCATCCCCAACCAACCTCTGTAGCAGCAGCAGCTGTTTCCCAGCCTGCATCTCTTCCCTGATGCCTTGTCCATCTTTCCTGGCCCCATTTAAAGGTCTTCCCAGGGCTTCTTTGCAGTAGGCTGCTCTGAGGAGCTGACTCTGGCTCACCAAGGCTGTACCATGTCCCAGGGCTTGCCAGGTTATGAAAAATCTTCTGTTGTCCTCCAAAATTCCTCACAACCCTTGCTCCATCATTGTAATCCCAAGGTACCCAGGGACCTTCCTGGGCCCTGTGATCTTATGGAATGGTGGTAGCAATGATGTGTTCACTGCAGCCCTTTGGTCTTGTCCTATTGGGTAATGGCATCTGTGTCACAGTGCCTGGGTTCTTGTGGAGTCTTGATATCTGTTTGTTTGGCACTGTAGACTCCGCCATGTGGAAGAACTATGATGAGGCATAAATTCTATTTCCCTGGTGAGGAGGGAAGTGAGCCACCCCTTCCCAACTCAATTTTCCTTTCCTCAGATTTGTGGCCTGCAAGGCTAGGAAAAATGATAAAGATGGAACACTTTGAGAGGTTTTATTTCTATTCTAATAAATTTACCAATATAACTGAGGTGGGTGTGTGTATACACGTGCACACACATGCATGCGCACATTTGTTAAACACATGATGGGACTGGTCATAGAAAATCTTCCTCAGAGTGACATGGAAGTAGCAGAACTTTCTAGACTATCAGTTCTGACCCTGAGAGCGTTATTACACAGGCCTCAAAGTGCCTTACTGAAAGGAAGTCAGCTTTGTCTAGTCTACTTTGCCTTTTATGACCATATCATGTTGTAAGGTGAGTCATGGTTCTGGGATTCTCTTCAGTGATTGACAGCTATTGAGCACAGCCAGGAGCAGGGGGAAAACCAAATGCAGCTAAATTGACCTTCACAAAAACAGCCACTTAATGTTCTTGTAGGCAGTCTTGCAGGCCACCTCAAATGCCAGCCTCTCAACATGTAGTGCACCAAGGGACTGTGAACAGAAAGAAGGGACAGCAGAGCTGGCTTCTTGGACTTTCATTGTCTCCTATCTATCTCTACAGGACTGGCTCTCCAGGCTTCTTTGAGTGTTGATAACTTGGGAGGAGTGACTCTGTGGGTCACACTACTTTCTATTGGTGACCAATTAAATGGTCCTTTCCCTAAGTGTTCCTAATATGTCCTTTGGCTAAAGTTTTTTTCTGACCTTATCACCTCATGACCAGATACTACTGGCCTCTGTCCCATTTCTATTTCACATAAAGCTTTACGGGACTGTTCTCTGTGACCTATGATACATTGGGTTTTAGGTGGATGTTTCAAATATGTGAAGAAGATGGCTTAGCTTTGCTGGTACAGTCTGATGTGCTTTCCTCCCCCTCCATTCTAAGCCTTTTTCAATTTTGTGTTTGATCAACAATCCCAACATTTCTGGATACGCTAAGTCTCGCACTGTCTTGGCTCCTACTGTGTTGGCACATTTTGATGTGCTATGGTGTCTACTCTATGCTGCCAGTGCCTGTTGCCTGTGGTGCTCAAAAGACAACATGCACATCCCCCTGGAACCAGAGTTACAGACCGTTGTCAGCTACCATGGGGTGCTTGGAACCGAACCCTGGGTCCTCTGCATGAACAACAGATGCTCTTTAATGCTGAGCCACAGCTCCAGTCCCAGTGTTCTTGAGACTGGTCTTTCTTCATTTTTCGTTCAATTCTCAGCACCTAGTCTGAGTGGCTCACAACCGTTTGTAAGTTCAGTTCCAGAGGATCTAGCATCCTCTTCTGGCCTCTGCAGATCTTGCATGCATGTGATGTACATGCTACATGCAAGGAAACAAACAAAATGGAATACCCAGAGAGGAGACTAACACAATGTCCAGTTCCTTTGTTTCTGAGATACTGGATCTGCTCTCCTGCCCTTCATTTACTTCTGTAACACAGTCATTTGCCTCCATTAGCTCCCCTGAAGCACCTTTGTTCTGTGACTGTCAGTTCTATTCTCACGGCCCCATACCCTGGCTGGAGGCCTGGGACTTGGTGCTCTGGTCCTGAAGCCCATCTGTCTTCACTTGTGGCCTCTCTTGTGGGGTTGCGTGCTGCTGCTGCCTCCCCTGGATGCTTAGAGCCCCATAGTGCTAATTCTTTCTACTTCAGGTTTTATTGTTCTTCATGACACAGTGCTGGACATCAGGACAGCACCTTGATGCTCATTTTCTTGCTTCACACTGATTGACAGAATTCTCAGTTCTGAATTGAGAACATTGCCCTTGCTTCTAGGCTCCTGGGGGCCTTGGATGTGGAACTGGGGATTCCCATTGTTTAGTTGCTTCTTTTTGATATCCTCATTTTAATCTTGGCATGTCACTATCTTCAGAATGCTTGTCACTAAGTTGAGAACCTTAATGAGTCACTTTTAGAGAGATGGTCTCTAGGCCTCCTCCTGGGGATGGCAGCTGTGACGAGAGGAACAAAGGCTCACTGGGACACACTTTCTCCCAAAGGTTTCAGTGTGACTCTTGGGATGATACTGTCCTTGTTCCTGCAGCACAGTTGGACATGGCACATGAGCAGGACCACGTGGCATTCACCACTCATGGCTTAAGCTTCAGTTTCCTTTCCTGCATTGTCCCATTCACCCATGTGTAGGTTCCAGTCCTGGTTCCTTCCACAGCTCCAGTTGTCCTCTCTATGTAAGTACATGTAGGGTTGTGCCCTTTAATCATCAGTGTCATATCAGTGTGGCTCTGAGGGTGGGGAGAGGCTGAAGATGAATACAGGCTGATGTCATCATTGGACCCTAGCCCCTAGCCCCGTGTATAGTATTGGAGACCAAACCCAGGGTTTTGTGAATGCTAGGCAAAAATACTCTACCACTGCTCTATGTCCCTAGCTCTTGGATATTTGAATGAAGGTCTCACTATGTATTGTAGGCTAGCCTTGAATTTGTGATCTTCCTGATCCAGCTTTCCCAGGTGCTAGGATTACAGGATGAAAATACCATACCTGATTATTATTTTGTTAATGTGTGTTTGCATGCATGCATGCATGCTCATAGTATGTACAAGTGCACACACATATATGTATGTGCATGTGAAGGTTAGAGATTGCTATTAGGTAAGTTCCAAAATCACTGTCCATGCTATTTTTTGAGACAGTATTTCACTGATACTTACTAGTCTGGCTAGACTATCTGGCAAACAATCCTCAGGAATCCTGCCTCTACTTTCCCAGCTTGGGGATTGTAAGTGTGTGCTGTTGCATTTTGCTTTATATACAGGTGTTTGGGGGCTGAACTCAGGTTTTCATGCTTGTAAAGTAGGCACTTTCCCAGCTGAGGCATCTCCTACCCCCTTGTTTAACTTTTAAAGTATTACCTTAGTTCATATACTATCTATACATTCAAGTGACCTTGGTATCCCACACACTGATTTCAGGGCCCAGCTCCACACCATGGCACTCAGAGCTCAGTGCCACATCTGTGTATCAGCTTTCCCAGGTATAAGACCTGTGAATAAGGGTGGGGTAGATTTCTTTCCACCTTGGCTGGCATGGCCTTTGCCCCAGTCTTTCCTCTTTATTTGGCTTAGAACTTTATATTATGGGCTAGTAACACACACCTGCTGGAGACAACCTCCCACAGCTGATGATCTAGACAGCTCTGGGAAAGGCAGACACAGCCTGGGTAATGGCTACTATTGGTGTATTGATCTCACAGGTCCAAACCTAAGATGCTGTTGTAAGTAAGCCTTTTAGATGTCCCTCTGATTACCGTGAATGTCATGGCTATTTACCCATAGGGTATCTAACAAATAGCAAGGAGGACAATGGTGAAGTGAGTGCCTGTGACTAGAAATTGATGTCTAGTGTTGGCACCAAACCTGAATTCAGAAAGTGAAAGGTCAAGAGCACAAATTGTGGCTACCATGAGGTAGGAGGACACTAACTAGACAGTGCAGAAAGTGGCTCCAGTAGCAAGGTGAAGTTAAAGCGACTGGAGAGATTGCCTTTGTGGACTGTGGACATAGAAAACCAGCAATGAATGCACTTAGTGTATCAGCTAACAACTGTCATTTTAAACATACTACCTATGCAGATATATATGTTAAATATTGTAAGTACAAGATACATATACTAAATATTGTAAGTAGAAGATATATATGCTAAATATTATAAGAGATTCACTATACAGATTCCTCACAGGATATCCTCTGGGATGCCTGTTGGGAAATGGAGAACTTCAAGTTTCTTGCCTCTATTGGGCTCTTCAGATAGCACCCCAAGGTCATCTCTGCTGGTAAACATTCTTCCCACATAGGCTTGACCATTTCAGAGACATTTACTGCTCTGCTGTATGGGACAAAGAAAGGCGGCCAAGTGCCCAAGTCTTAAGGTCAAGGCCGTGGCACTCAGAATTCATACTCCGTGTTTCTCTTTCAGGTAGGTGAGCTCTAAAGAAGCCAGCCCTGCCAGAGACCTCCATTCTTGAGGTCTGAGCCACAGTGCGTTGCAGCGTTTGGATCTATGGACCTGCTTTGAACCGTAGAGCCTGCCTATGGGGGAAGGTAAGCTGCCCCAAAGCCCCTTGTGTTTGTTGGTTTATTCATCAGGCATTGTGGAAGCGAAACCAGACTCACTGTTGAGGAATACACATGCTGGCAGTGCGACAGTTCTTTGTCCTATCCTGCTCTATTGTACTAGGCCCTCAAGGTCTGTGTATACTTTGGAGAGTTGGGACTCCTTCCCAGAGCTATGAGCCAGTTATTGTGTACACCCTCACTCAGGTCCCCCAGAGGCTACCCACACGTCTCCAGAAGTTGCCTGAAACAAGAAATGACAAGGATGCGAGCACAGGTTTAGGGAATGGAGAACAGAAGCTGCGCTGGGATACTGATGGCTGCCATGGGGTTTTAGTCCTATTTTCTGCTTTCCGATACCATGGTAGAAAGATTTATTTTTGTTCATTAGCATTCATAATGCTTTATGATTGGGTACATGGTCATAAAGAGAAATTTCTGATCCTCATTGCAACTTTGCATGGACACTATGAGTTCTGGAAATCAAATAACAGTGAGAAAGATAAGGACACATGGTTATCTTCTCTATTCTGCCAGTGCCTCCTCCCGGACTTGCTGCAGCCCAGTCCTGCATATTGAGCTGAAGCCTGATGTGGACTCCCTGGAAGGGATTAGAAAGGGCCACGCAGCAGTTAAGGATCTCAGTGCACAGTGTGGACAGGCGTGCACTAGGCCCTGTACGCAGGTAGTAGTGGGGGCCACAGAGCAACTGACTGGAGGGTTAGTACTTGGGGAAATCACTCTGCTCACCACAAAATTTCTCCACTCACCCCCTCTGTTCCTCAGTCCTAAATTTGAGACCTTACCAGTCCCTAGGGAACTTCATGGATTGTCCCTTGCTAGGCCAGACAGAGCTGGGCAGCAAAGTTGTGAGTTGTTGGTCAAGGTGTGAGAGGATCTGCAGAGAATGAATTATACTGGGCAGAGCTCTGGGTGTGTCTGTGCATCTCATCCTGTGTCAGGTGACATTTCTGAAGAGTTATTTCTATTCATCCCAGATAAAGAGGGCAGTGATGGACCAAAGGAATGATTCAATCCACGTTTACCTTGGTGAACTAATGAGTTTATTGGAATTACTTACAGCAGCATAGATAAGAGGTTAATTACAGGAGCAAGGGGGAATTATGAGTAGACAGCTGCACACCACTGAGGCTTTCTCCCTATACCTCCTACCCTACCCTGGTACTTACTGGGGCAATTACTATGTTTCTCCTTGGGGAGAAGAACCTGATGAGCTTTCCACATCTTCCAGGAAGGGGCAAGGGTAGTTAAAGAGACTGATTTTGTGGATCTTGTAAAGGTTCCATAGAGGAAATCATAGATACTCTGATTTTAAGATGTTAATGGCCATACTGTGCCTGTAGATCAATGTCCTGTGTTGTCTAGGCTTCCCACTGCTGTGTGCCTTGATTTCCAGGTGAGATAGAGAGCTCCCTTTCCCACCTCTACCCAGAGGAGATTGATCCTAATAGGCTCACCCATCTGAGATGGTATGGGACAAACTCCTGAAGTCCCTGGTTCCTACAGTGATGTCCCTGCGCTGCCCAGAGAATTCCTCCAGGACTTGGTGTGCCCAGTGCGAAGGCTCCTGGTCTTTCCCAGGCACTCATCTCATGACTGAGTGGCCATGCAGGCTCATGTAGCAGCAAGTCCAAGTTCTGGGATTGCAGGCATACATCCTGACATAATTTATGTATTTTTGACCCAGAAATATGTTGTTAATGTACATGGCAAGGAGATCACAAGACAAAGGGGGCCCATTCACTGAACTAGATCAGTCACATCCACATAAATCTACTTACTACAGTTCTAGAGGCCGAAAGCTCTAGGTCAATGGGCCAGAAGGTCTGCTGGTGCTTCGGTGTGGAGCCTCCTTGAACATTGCATCCTTTGTTTTCCTGTGACCAGAGGACCACCTGACAAAGAAAGCCAACCTAGTCCCCCTAAGGCTCTTGTGAGACACCAATTGATTAGTAGGTTGAGGTCACAGCCTTTTCCCCCTCACAGGCCCCAATATTGTCATGGTGGAGATTGATCTAGCTATCTTTCTTGGTTTTGTTTTTTTAAAGACAGGGTCTCACTACTTGCTGTAGACCAAGGCTAGCCTTGAACTCAGAAGTGTGGATGCCTCTACCTCCTGAGTGCTGAATTTAAGGTGTGCATCATCACACCTAGCCTGGAGATTGATTTTCAACCTACATATTTGAGGGAAAACATATGTCCCAAACCTTAGCAATATTAGTACATTGCTCAATATACCAACTCAAAATATCTGGTACACTCAACTATTGTAGACTCATTTTAGTTCTATATACCAAACCATAAAAATGGAGTACCTGAAATCTTATTTATAAAGTGAAATATCAGGAATTTGGTACTATCACCTAAACCTAAATGCATTAATATAGGAAAGTATTTACTATGTAATACTAAATGAAAAAAAAAAAAAAAAAAAAAAAAGAGGACAAACAGCGGGCAGTTTGGTCCTATTTTGATTAAAAGGTACAGTGATGGAACCTAGACACCCACCTCCCAACACTGCAGATCCCAGGCTGGTGGTCTTTCTGGGGAACACTCAGTTGTGTTGTTTCTCTGCTATACTAGATACCCATTGCTTCTATTATTTGCTTGGGGGAGGCTTTGGGACTCCTCTTTCCTTTCTGTGCTGTGGTAGGCATTGCAGAGTTACTAGCAACAACTGTACTCCAGTGACCAGCTCCTTCCATGGTGCAGTCTGCCTTCTGGGACAGCCCATAGCTCCTTCTGGCCTTCTCCTTCTCATGTACGCTCACTCATGTTTTGGTCATTAACCTCCTCTGATATTATATAAGTAGCTGGATAAAGTTAATATCAGTGTCAGGTATCATGGGACAGCCGCTCTCTCCTGCTTGGTAGCAGAAATGCTCGGTTTGATTGTGGTCAATAGGCATGTTGCCTGCCCCTCCATTTAGGTCTCACATTCTTGAGCCTAGGAGTCCTGAGCTGGTCCCTGCACCCTGCCTGTGTAGGGCTGTGTACATCACAGACCATATTCAGACCACCTTAAATGACAGCGTGCTCATCCACTTCTGAGTGTATGCAAAGGCTTAATTAAAAATATTGAAGGCAAGAATTTCCAGTCTGTCATTTTGGGTACCTAACCTTGGTTAGGATTTTGCTGTTCACCTGGTCCCTCGAGAACATGCAAGTGTGTCTCCAGTCAATCCAAGGCAGCCTTATAGTCAATGGCCAAGGACCTGCCTTTGCGTAAGCTATACATGGACGGTCAGCATGATGACAATGTCTGATATGAAAAGCTGTGTCTGCATTAATGCTAGCCATCCCCTCCCCCACTCAAGCTGAGCTGCTATGTATATGTCCTGCAGGCACACTGGCTTGTTCAGTCCTGTTGGGGGCAGGAGCCATTGAAATGACAGCCATGAGTGCTGGGTGCCCCTCCAAGGGCACAAGGGGAGCTGGGCAAAAAGTAGGTCACATGTGCTTGGGCGATGTCACGCGGTTCCCACCCCAGGCCAATGGGATGGGTGGCCTCTTTCGGTTGAGAACAAAACATCACTCTAATTTTTCTCTGTTAGCATTTCATCTTCTCTAAACGGGGAGAGTAACCATCTGTCTGGCTCCCACACCCAACTCGATCCTCTTGACCCCACGGGGCTGCTTTGTTCGGAGGTAAGGGGATTCTGTGGGCCTGGGTGAGCGGTCAGCAGAGTGAGCAGGACAGGTGGCCAAGACTGACAGAGTCCTAGCTCAGATCTCCAGGTGGTATGGCAGAGTATGCCAAGGTCACATAAGTGATGTGTGGGGAGACGGTGCCGAATGCACTGCCATGATGGTGCACAGAGCTCGGCTGGGTGCTGAAGAGTGGAGTTGGGTTGTGCGTACCAGCGGCTTTGGATATTTCGATATTGGCTCCTCATCTTTCATAAGGCAGTTCTTTTGGGGAGGACCAATGGCATTTTAATTTTCTTCACTATTGAAGTGACATTATTTGCAAAAAATAAGGCATACAATTTTACGGAAGTTTTGTGGGTCAGAAATACCAGATATGGAAAGGAATATAATCCCTACCCTTGACCATATGAATCATCCTTAAGAACAAGTGTCCAGTGCTCTCTGGCTCAACTGGTTCCTTCAGTCCTGTCTTTGTTAGGGACTTAAACCTCTGAAGTTACTCGGAAAGTTATTTGCTTCCACAGGTAAGAGCACTATGAAGCCCAAATATCCAGAACCTAAATATCAAAATATCTATGCACACACATTATTAGTAAATGGAAATTATACTTTAGCGTTTAGTATTTATGTTGAGCAATTTACTAGTTACCTTATTGCCAGGCAATTGAACATGATCCACACATGGTAAAGTGTATGTGACTGTATAATTTTTAAATGTTTATAAAAAACTAACATGTTTTACAGCTTATAAATAACTTGTAAATGAGCTTAAGTGTGCCATAGGATGTTCCAATGTGTGTGTTTGACAAGCAAGTTGCAGCATGTATGTGTTTGCAGGATCTGGTTATATCTGCCATATTCAGACACAGGGAAATGCTCCCAGAAATAGTGTACCAGATCAAGAATTGTAGCAATTTAATCTGAGTGTGTTCCGCCAGAAATTTTTTTTTTCCTTTCAGATGAAATTTGTGCTTATTTTAGTTCTCCAGGAATCACAAGCGCTTTGGGATAAGCACTGTTGCCCATCTTTGTTGTGTGGCACACACACAAAGGCTTGATGACAAAACAGGGCTCACAAGAACTCCTTATACAATCAAACTACAGCCTAGAGTGAATCCTATATGTTTTCTAAAGGGCATTTCTTTAACTACTGTGCAATCTTGAGGAAACAGTTAAGTCTGTTTGTTTGGGGGTTTTGTTTTGTTTGTTTGACTATAAATAAGACAGTAGAATTGTGCAACATTTTCCTTGTTTTCAACTGTTAATCTGATGCCTGGAGAAAGCCCCATACACTGATAGCTTTCTTTGTGCCTCTT